TTAACACTTATGTTCTATAATACAATTTTCACTAATTCACCGCGTAAAGAACTTTTGTTTCTTTCTACTAGTGATGGTAATATGCTATATGAAGTTGTCAAAATAAATAATTTTATATATTGTGTTAATACAATCTACCCTCTCTAGACTACAGTTCGTTTATTTGTTGTTAATGAATTGGGTTTTTATGTTCAAGGAAACCTGGCTCAGCCAAAATATGGTCATTTGAAGGAACTTCATGATGTGTTGCATTCCATGGAGAAAATTCTTGCCAGTGGCACTGTCAACAACACTAATCTTGGAAATTCTGTTGCCGTATGTTTTTTTTAAAAAAAAGATTTTATGAATTTTCCTATTTATTTATTATTATTATTTTCATTTTTATACAACTTTTTTTTTAACAAACACATTTTAGGTCACCATGTATACATTGGATGGGGAATCAAGTTGCTTCTTTAGTAACGCAAATGAGACCACAGATGCAACCATATCATATAAAAATGTCTATTACAATGTCCCAGCTTGGTCTGTTACCATTCTTCCAGATTGCATCACTGAAGTTTACAACACAGCCAAGGTAACAAAAAAAATAAAATTATTTCGATTTTTAATTTCTATTTTTCATCGTCAATTTTTTAAAAATAATTTCGTTTGTATATACGTAGGTGAATACTCAAACTTCAGTTATGGTTAAGAAACTGAACAATGCTGAAAATGAACCAATTCCTCTCCAATGGTCATGGAGACCCGAAATGATCGATGATGCTATAATTCTTGGAAGAGGTCAATCTTCTTTCCATGAATTGATTGATCAAAAAGTTGTTAATGATACTAGTGACTATTTGTGGTACATGACTAAGTAAGTTACGTTATTAGCTCAAAAAATTCGATTACATTTTTCTATATAGTTAACATAATATGTGTATTGAATGAAAATATATAGTGTTTATATCAACAACACTGATCCAATATGGAGTGATGATATGAAACTAAGAGTCAATGCTAGTGGCCATGTCCTTCATGCTTATGTCAATGGAAAATATCTAGGTAAGAAATTCAAGAATCGCTTTAGTTTTTATTATTCCTTTTATAACATAACAGTCAACTGAAAAACGTTTATTTTTACTAATAAAATTATGTAGGTTCCGATTGGGCAACATATGGAATCTTCAATTATGTATTTGAGAAGAAGGTTAAATTGAATCCTGGCAAGAATTCTATATCATTGCTTAGTGCTACTGTTGGTTTTAAGGTACTTTTTTTTTTTTTTAAATGGTTAGTTTATATTATGTTAAATTTTTTAATTGATGTTAATATCTTTTTTTATGTTGTTGATTACAGAATTATGGACCTCATTTTGATACAATTGAAAGTGGTATTCTTGGTCCAGTTGAAATAATTGGTAAAAATGGTGATGAGAGTATCATTAAGGATTTGTCTTCTCACAAATGGTCATATACGGTAGGTTTGAAAGGTATAAATAATAAGTTATTTGATGAGTACAATACAGGGAAATGGGACTCACATGATGTTCCAATCAATCGAATGATGACATGGTACAAGGTAACATTATATATAAAATCTCCGTTTTTTTTTGGTCAGTCGTTAATTTCTTATTTTCTAGTAGTGTTGATTGTATTTTTTTTTAACCGTGTTCGATGTAGACTACGTTCAAAGCTCCACTAGGAAATGCTCCAGTTGTTGTGGACATGCAAGGTTTGGGCAAAGGAACAGCATGGGTTAATGGACAAAGTATAGGTCGTTATTGGCCTAGTTATTTAGCTGAGGGAAATTGCTCTCTCGATCCATGTGATTATCGTGGTCCATATTCTGCAGACAAATGTACTTCCAAATGTGGCGAGCCTACTCAAAGATGGTTCGTATACTTATTAAAGATCATTCCTTCATTATATATACTGACAGTGTAATGAGACTTTGATTTTTGTAGGTACCATGTTCCACGATCGTTCTTATCTAGCGATGAGAATACATTGGTGTTGTTTGAAGAATTTGGTGGGAATCCATCACATGTAAAGTTTCAAACAATTGAAGTTGGAATGGCATGTGGAAGTGCTTATGAGAACAAAACAATGGAATTGTCATGCAATGGTAGTCGTATAAGTGCTATTCGTTTCGCCAATTTTGGTGAAACGGAAGGAAGTTGTGGATCGTTTGGCAAGGGAAGTTGTTCAAGTGAGCAAGATGTTGTTTCTCTTGTTGAAAAACAATGTGTTGGAAAGGAGAAATGTTTAGTTCAAGCATCTGAGAGTGTGTTTGGAATGACCAATTGTGGTAATAAGGAGAAGAAACTTATTGTGGAGGCTGTGTGCTAGTTAAGAAGCTACACTTGCACATTGTTCATATATTATGTTTTCTATCTAGTTATCTGCAAGTTAAGTTTTTTGTTAAATAGTTTGTTTTAGGTTTCATTTTGTGTTATGTCTAACTCTTGGTAATATAATTAAGGTCAGATTTAAAATTTTTGTTCCCTGTGTTTTCATTTGAGCCCTTTCTCAAAACTTATTTGCAGGATTTTATTTTATCTAATTTATGACGATTATAAAATCTGTGTAATAGAAGTGTTGGAGTAGGTCGTTCCTAAGTTTGGTCCTTAGTCTAATAGTTCAAGTCACATTTGTCTGCTTTGTAACTTGATTGAAGTCAAAATTGACATAATAAGAAGGTGGATGGCGTCAAATATTATAACTTTTGACTTGACAAGACTCAAATACAAGTGTGTTTTTCAGATGAGCCCCTAGTATATGTTAATGTGGCCGTTTTGAGCTCACAAAAGAAATAGTTTGTGTGGGAATCTAAATTTTTCTTCCGGTTGACTAAAGTGTCCTCAACTATATATGGCCGCAAATTTAGACGGAAACATAATTTGTTCAATGTATTTAAATTTAAATTTGTTAACAAATATAACACTGCCTAATACTGGATAACGAATTGGAACGGGATTATCAGATCGGAACGAATCGGTATCGAATTGGAACGGGATGAGTTGACCGGTATCGAGATGAATCGGACCAGAATTATCGGGACGGATACTCAGTTCCGTTCCGTCCTACTATATATCGGAATGGAACCAGAACGGATCGAAATGGAACGGAATGGGATAAACGGAATGACACATCTAGTTATTTCAAAAAATAAATTTTTTTCAATTACGATGATTCTTTTTTTTAAGTTTAAATTAATAATTTTTAAATTTATAATGTAATTTTATACTTATGTTTATTTTAAAGGTATGTTTACTTATTAAATTTGCAAGTTAAGTCTAATTAAGTTTTCAAGATTTAAATCTTTTGAAGTTTATAAGTTGTTACTAATTATTTATTAATATGTTATACTTATATTTATAAATTATAATTTAAATAAATTAAATTTGTAATTTAAAAAAATTAAATTAAATAATATAAAATAATTACACAAATTAAAAAATATCAATTTAATCTATTTAAAATTTGCATTACAAATTACAATTTCAATTTAATGATAATATAATACTAATAGGGGACAATTGGGTTACTTGGATAATATTTATTATTTAATATAAAATATAAGTTATAATTTATAAATATATAATATAAATCAATTAATATAATCATAATACATAAGTACTCCTCAACTTATTAATATAAATCCTACAGACATACTTATACTATATTAACGTCCTATTTCTCCCCTTTAACTTATTTTATTAATAATTTTCTATCTCTTTTTGGCTTATGTGGCACTATCTTGTGGGTTCAATGCTAATTGACTTTTTTTTAAAATTAGTGTCACGTAGGCTGAAAAGGGGTAGAAAATAACTTATAAAATAAGTTCAGGAGTAATACGACCTTAGTATAGTATAAGTGTGTCTCTGAGATTTCGGACATAGGTTGAGGAGGTACTTGTGTATTTTTCGATTAATATTTATAATTAATTGAAATCGAATCGAAACCAAAATAAATCAGAATAAACCCATACCGATATATCGATACCAAACGTTGATTCCGTTCCGTATCATAATTTAAGATATCCCGTTTCAATCCGTAGATACCAAACTGGGATAAACCAGAACGGTACTAGACCGATACCCGTTCCGTTCTCACAATTTCATTGTTTACCAATTTTAATATCTATTTTTATTATAATAGAATTTCATTGTTTACCAATTTTAATATCTATTTTTATTATAATAGTATATTGAGTTACTCCCTCATTCCCATATTAAACGAGGACTCTCTTTTATAGGACAATTGATCTTAAATATTTTATGTTTTTTAAATTTATAGGACAATTGATCTTAAATATTTTATGTTTTTTTTTAAAAAAATGATATATCTTATAAAAAAGGATTTAAAACAAAATACCCTTGAACGATTTTAATAAAATTCGAACGATTAATAAAATTCCGCTTTTACCTATTTAGATTAATAAAAAAGTAAATTAGTAAAAAACCATTAACCATTATTCGTCTTCTATATTTTAACCACCAAATATTCAAATGTCAATCTTTTCTTTTGCTCTTATTCCAAATTTTAATCCCAGTAACCAACTTCATTTATGATGGGTCGATCATAATGTTTTATTTTAATTTAAATTAATTAAACAACATTTACCACCTGATTTTACGCCTCCACTATTCGATCCACCTACAAAAAATTTCATTTCAAATAACCCAGAAACGTAATTACTGAATTCCCTAATATTATTTAGCAATTAAGTACGCCGTTAGAAACGAACATTATAAGTCAAAATTGACGTTAAGAGATATTTGAAGGTCAACGATGATAATTTTGTACCAATTTGACAAACATTTTAGTTGGTTTTCGATAATACTTTTTTTTTTTTTTAACATTTGCTGTTAATCAATAATGCAACACGATACATGCAAACACATTAACACTTGATTAACAATACTCGATCTTTTTCAGAAACTATTTAGTCTATTTTAAAAAATATAATCCTTTTTTTCTCAGAAAACTTTTACTGTAATTTTTCAGGTAGCATATTTAAGACATTTTGATATATTTGAATTAAAACTACAATTTAGAATAAAAGGGAGTAATATATAAAAACTATGAAAAAGAAAATTGACTTTTAAGTGGATACAAGCTAAACTTGAATACATTTTAATCTAGTCCAAATACAACCACGTATCAATAAGCAACATTAGGTGTTTGAATTGATTCATCCATCAAAAGGACCACATTCTAGCACTATCAAACAAATCATCATGCAACACTACTTCCCCATGATCTAAAGAAGAACATCCAAACTCCAAATCATCTCTAAAAAACACACTCTCCACAGCTGCTGATCTGCTGTGGTGGTGGTCTACAACCACGGTAGCAGCAGCTGCAGCCAACTCTTCACTTACTCTAGTACTACTACTACGTGCATGTCTGGATGCCTTCACTTGAATTTCGGAAGGTGACAACTTATAATTATCAGCATCACATGAAATCAGCGGTGGATCGTCCGGGAAATTAATCATCGCGGACGGTCCACGTAAACAAACCACCGCTGCATCATAAGCTCTAGCCGCTTCCTCCGCAGTATCGTAAGAACCTAACCATATTCTGTCACGGCTTTTCGGTTGCCGTACTTCAGCTACCCATTTCCCCCATTTTCTCATACGAACACCCTTATAACGATCCCCTTTCACTTTTTTCTCTTTCTTTACTTTAGCCCTCACCATCTTTAGTTAGATTAATAATTAGTATAAGGGCAAATGAAATGATTATTGTGTGTGTATATATATTTATTAGAGAAGAAACGTGGAATGGGATATAAAAGGACACGTAAGTTTTGATTCTTTAAGAGTTGAGATAGTTGGACGGAAACATGTGTGTGCATATCGTGGCGTTTCCTTTTCAATTTTTCAAAGGATGATCGACACGTGGGATAACCGACTAAATTTCGGCTGTATGAATAATAATATTGTTGACGGATTGCCCTTGGAATCCTTAATCCTGTTTTAAATTAATGTATTGAAGACCCAAATTTCAACATTTTTTTATTTTACCCGCTCCGTTCATTTTTATTTATTTAAAATATTTATTTACTTGAAATATTACAATATAATTTATTATTTATATAATTTTATTTTTAATTGTCATATTGTATTTTTAAATATCGATTTGGTTAATTTATCAAGTTAAATTGATTGAATATTTTATATTAAAAAATTAAATATTCATTAATTATACAAAAAATAATATATGTTCAAGTTTTTTTTACATCTCAATAGGATGATATATATATATATATCAATTGTACAATATTAGTTATAGTTATTATTATTTCTGTTAGATTTTATTTGCCCTGATTTCTTACCATAAATAGGTTTTCTTCTTAGGAAAATGTTTTGAATTGACTAATCCTTTTTTGGTAGGAAAAGGTTTAGGATTCTATAAATAGAGGCATATTCCTTCTAACTTAATTAGCATTCACAACGTAGTCTTAAAGGCTTTGAGAGTTTTGGTTAGAGGGAGAATCTGTGGGTCACAAGCTTGATATGTTATCACTTGTGTGAACCTCCCATGTATTCTGAGTGAATTGGTTGAGGTTGTTTCTCTCTGTATTTTGTACTCTCATATATATAGTGGATTGCTCATCTTTTTTGTGGACGTAGGTCGATTGACCGAACCACGTTAAATTTCTGTGTCTTTTGGTATATTTCTCGTTGTCTTCTTACTCGTAGTCTTTTGAGATTCGCTTTGCTAGCTTCCGCATACACACCTGCTTATTTCCGGTCCTAACAAGTGGTATCAGAGCCAGATTCAATGACGGAGTCAGGTTCAGTGGTTCGATAATCGATGATTGAACCAGGTTAGAAAGATGTGTTCATCTTGGTGGTGTAGTTCTAGCAGTAACCTTTTTGACAGTAATGAAGATTTTGTTGGAGAAATTGTTTCAGAGAGATTCTTTGTGTTGAGACATAAATTTTGCAAAGGAGATTATGGAGAGGAGAAGCAAGTTGTTAAAGATTAAGTGAAGAAGGTGGACAAATTTATTTTGTCAGAAATTCAGGCCAAAGGGGAGATTTGTTGGGTTTTCTTTGCCCTGATTTCTTACCATAAATAGGTTTTCCTCTTAGAAAAAGGTTTTGAATTGACTAATCCTTTTTGGGTAGGAAAAGGTTTAGGATTCTATAAATAGAGGCATATTCCTTCTAACTTAATTAGCATTCACAATGTAGTCTTAAGGGCTTTGAGAGTTTTGGTTAGGGAGAGAAATTGTGGGTCACAAGCTTGATACGTTATCACTTGTGTGAGCCTCCCATGTATTCTGAGTGAATTGGTTGAGGTTGTTTCTCTCTGTATTTTGTACTCTAATATTTATAGTGAATTGCTCATCTCCTTTGTGGATGTAGGTCGATTGACCGAACCACGTTAAATCTCTGTGTCTTTTGGTATATTTCTCATTGTCTTCTTATTCGTGGTCTTTTGAGGTTTGCTTTGCTAGCTTCCGCATTTACACCTGTTTATTTTCGATCCTAACAATTTCACACTAGAAAAGAAAATAAAAATAAATGAAGGAAATATTTATTTATTCTTTTTAATTATTATTTATTTTTTAATATTGAGATGATTTATATATAACTAATAAAACTAATGATAAAATTATCACTTCATTTATTGTTTATTAACGAATATGCCAAGCTAAACATCTGATTAAGGTGGCCGGAGGAAGTAGTATTATTTCTTGCATTAAAGAATTACTCTGTAAAAATTAGTACTAAATTTTTACTTATATAATAGTAATAATCATACTTATAACAGTATGATCTTCGTACAGATTACTTATAATCGTAACTTTTTTTACTTATATAATATTAATAAATTACTTTATTTGCCATATAATTCATTGTAAACATAAAGTATTTCAATAAAATTAAGGACTAGGACTTGACCCAAAAATACAGATCCAATAAATATTATGAAGTTTGTGGCGGTACACAAAACTAATCAAAAGTTTCGAAAGGACTAATTTGTCATTATTCAGAAAATGAAATAATTCATAATTTTGAGGTTGTAGTAAGTCTTAATTTTATTTTTTAAGTTTGAGAAGAATTGAAAAGAAAAGTTATTAAATTGAGACCGTAAATTATTAAAATATTAAATATCTTCAAATTACAACAATCAAAGCGGGTTATCAATATTTACATATAAGGTTACCCGTCTATCTCGTATTTGTTGTATAAAGATATGGACATGACGAAGGAATTAGATGTAAAAATAAATTAGATGTTTACTAGAATAATATGTCACGATTCAAATCGAGCCATGAATAACACCCACACTTAACCTCCTAGGTTGGAGAAAAAAAATTAATCCCAACTTACAAAATACAAGCATAATGAGGAAGCTCAAAATATTATTAAATATCGTTTCCCAAAACCTGAAAGTCATCACATCAAAGGACATCTAATCTCCAAATACTAAGTCTAAGAGTATCAAGGACACCAAAACAAAATGGTTTATTTACGAAGATTAAGGACATCATGTTATGAGCCTAAGAATCCATCACGAGCTTTGATGAATAACTTACCCTGGAACATGATATGTTGGCGACTGGCTAGAGCTGAGGGCGATTTAAGGTCGCTAGTACACTCACTGCACTCCACAAAAGGAAAACAAAGAAAAGCACAAGTAGGGTTCAGTACATGACAACATGTACTGAGAAGATATCATCGACAGACTCAAAATAGTAACTAATATGCATGAAATAATAGTATGAAATCAACTATAGCATTTAGTAGGTGATAAACAACATGAACAAGTGACGACGGAAGCAAGTACACAATCAATCACAATATCAAGCGCGCACTCAAGGACTCATGCCTCCACACCACGCTTATTTATGAAATGAGTTCTTTGAGACTTAGTACATTAAGTTAATTAAATATATTTTCTTTTAGTGTTATCGTGTCAGAACATGACACCCCAATTTAATAATATCGTGTCGAAACGTGATACCCCGATCCAATAATACCGTGTTGGAACGTGACATCCAATTCAATAATACCATGTCAGAACATGACACCCCAATCTAATAATATCATGTCGGAACGTGGCACCCCAATCCAATAATAACGTATCGAAACATCATATTCGGATCCAATAATATCGTATCAGAACGTAACACCCCGATCAAACCATATAGTCAATTCATTTTTCATTCTTATCATCTCTTTCCACTTCGTTAACAATATTTCATCAAATCTTCCTTGTTCAAGGTATCACTTCAATAGAAAAGGTTTCAGATTACAATTTTCACGGTCTCAAGATTTCAAACCAATCACAAACCACACAACCAAGATACTCAATCACATAATCAAGTACATAAAAAGTTCACAATATCACTCAATGCATATCAATCTCTATTAAGAGTGTATCTATAACATAGAAAAATCGTAACCTACATCCAACGAAGAACAAGAGTCAAACAAGATACTTCTATGTTTTACCTTCCGTAATGCCTTCGAGCATTTTGAATCGATCACGTGTGCATAATTAATAAGTTAACGAGTCTATATACATTCATATTAGCCGATGTCTTTCCTAGACTCAAAAACTCACTCAATCTATAATCAATCTCCTAAAATTCAAGTGTAAGAGCAAATCTTAATCCCTCCAATTAACATAACTTTATTCAACTATAATACACCTAATATTTAATTACCTATCTTTATATACCGAAACTTAGTTTATAACAAGATATTAAATTATATACAACATTCAGGACCTTTAATTTCGTGCAACTCTATTCGATCTTATATAATATAAATATATAATTGTAATAACTTAGTTCACTGCCAATGATTAATTGGCCACTAAAAGGTCATACAATAATGCCAAACTCAACTCACGTAAATGCCTACCAAGTTTTCAACCCAATTCTTTAATAACATCAACAACTAAAACCAACAAAACATATATTAGATAGTCACGAGCAACCTATGTAACCTCTATTCTTCCCAAATCAACATATAACAACAATTTCCTACACATACAAGATATAACTTTCCGACATTAATGTTAGGTAGTGAAGCCTGATTAATTTTAGGCTTTCTTGTTTATTCTCTATTTTATGCTTTCCTATTTATTCTCTGTAACCAAAAATACTCTGATTTATTAATATAAATATACCTCACCGCCGTGAAAGTTTACTCACGGGGTGTTACCACGAAATATTGGGTTTTATCTTTATCTCTCTAGATCTCTCATCTCTTTCTCTTGAAAGTTCTTGTGTTCTTCATTCATCTAGCGTGTGTGCGTGAATTCGATCCCAACAACTGGTATCAGAGCTAAGGAGATTCAACATGATCATTGAAGATGGATAGTTCGAAGCTTATCGAGAAGTTTGATGGATCCGATTTCAGTTTCTGGAAGATGCGGATTGAAGATTATCTGTACCAGAAAGATCTTCACGAACCGTTGACCGGGGTGAAGCCGGAATCCATGACGGAGGAGAAGTGGAACCTTAAGGATCGCTAGGCTCTAGGGTTGATCCGGTTGACTTTGTCAAGAAACGTGGCATTCAACATCGTGAAGGAGAAGACTACGTCCGGTCTGTTGGAGGCACTGTCAAACATGTATGAAAAACCATCGGCTATGAACAAGGTATATTTGATGCGTAGATTGTTCAATTTACAGATGTCTGAGAATGGATCCGTTTCTGATCATATAAACGAGTTCAATATGATTGTGAGTCAACTCAATTCTGTGGATATTA